TGTTTGAGTAGAGATCTCGTACAGAGTATATATATATATATATATATATATATATATATATATATATATATATATATATATCTGACACCTAGTAAATTCATGAAAAAGTGATTACAATCAAAATGTCTAAGCTTTAGCTTATCTAACCATGCTATTGAATAATGTGAACCTAAAATTCTAAAGTATCTAATTTTTTTCACACACGCCGGTGGCAAACTTCCAGATTAAATCTAGTATATACTAACATTGATAACCTTCATTACAATGGAAATTACACTTTTATTAACTTCTTAAGTTTTGTTTACCAAAACTTATGCACTCTTTTATACATATATAATTATATTTATATTTTTTTAGGCGAGCTAGTTTACTGGTAACTGTAGACCACTTTACACAAGCTTTGCATAAATATACGAACGATAAAATTAAACTTTCACCTTTGGATAATACAAACTTCTTTCCTTTGGACTGAATTTATCAATCATTCATATAATCCAATATCTCTTACCGAATTTTTCTGATTATTATTATTATTATTATTATTATTATTATTATTATTATTATTATTATTATTATTATTAACTCAATTCGATATATGTTTGTATTTATTGTTTCGAAATGTTGAAACATTTCAACATTTTCATTTATTTTTTTGTTTGCACTTAGTTTCCTGTGTAAACATTTGAATGTTATTCGATGATTGACTCAATAAAGTTATTTTGGTTGGATTATTTTCTTTTTTGTTGTTGTTGTTGATCAAATACATTCCTACGTATGTATAAAAACAAATTTTGGAAAGTAACTCTTAAACAAACAAAAAAACTCACCATGTTTTATAAATATATAAAAATTGAAAATGTTATATTGATGATCATTTCTGAAGATGAATAAATTACTCTAAACAATGCTTTCTTCTCTTTTCTTCTTTTGTTTTTAATATCATCACTTACACATAAAATCAATAACTATGATTCTAGGTATTTCAATGTTTCTTTTCTAACAATTTAATACCACATATCAATGATTGAGTTGAATATTAGCTCAAAGTTAAACAAAGTATGTATTTGGTTTTCATTGAGCATCCATTAAACATTGATAATGAATTCTGAACTGATTTCAGATATTAGGTATATCATACTATGCATAATCGTATGGTATCAACAGTATGATAGATAGACATAGAAATTACACACAAATTTAAAAGAATAAACATTCTTGAGATTATATATACATATATATTACATAAGAACAATCTCCTAGAGAATTCTTTTTTATGCAATACGAAAAGCTTGTTTCTGATTAGCTTTAGTATGATTAATATCTATTTGGGACGTTATTTATTAAATGTTATACATTTTGATGTTTGGACAAATTGGTTTACTTTAGTTTTACATTAAAGAGTAATTATTATAATAAAGCCTACTTACAATTCAACAGAATGTCTGTGTTAATTATAGGTTATTGCTCAAGTAGTATGTAGGACAGTTTGCAAGATTAACTATGAAGAGCTTTATGTATTGAAATCTTCAAGTAACTGTCTAATTAATTAATTCTTCAAGACTATAAATTTTTTGAGTTAAAATAATACATGCTTAAGTCAAAAGCCACCTAATGAAAGCAGTCTCATCGAACTTCGTGCCTACAATATTAACTCGCCAATACGACGTGATGATTAAGCCTACTTCCAGCTGTTTCATTAGTCTTCAACTACTGATTACGATTATTCCTTCGTCTAACTACGGAAATCAGCACCTTTACACACTAACTACATTAACAGTCAATCAATTGATTTACCGATACCATTTCGGAAGACTAAATTTTGTTAGCACTGTTGTTTACATACATACTCTAAATCAATGATTGAATCTTGATGTAGGAAACCAATCTTGGAAAACTGTCAATTGTATTTACTAAATGAAAAAAGTGGCATTCATACCTGGCGAAGGTTATACACATTACTGTACGATAGGATACATTAGTCTGTGGTATAATCAGAAGTGCTTGGGTAAAGGAAAACCACCGTAATGTAGACTACTTGTGTAGTGAACGAGAACACAAGTGAGGACGATCGAATGTATTTGAATACAAAATTACGGGACCTATTAGTAGAATTTGAGAACCATACAGTAAATACTTCATGTGCAAAACGCTAATCAATCGTTTAAGACACCCACACCAATCATTCTCGTTCTCTTTTCTTCGATCTTGACCTGCCGCCAGGCATTTCACTTTCGATTGATGATTCATACTACCTATGTCTGTCGACATCAGTAGCACGCACCACACTCGCAAGACATTTGTTCTAATGTCAGTACCCAATAATAAATCTCTTGGTCGAGGGAGCTAACAAGAACCTTCATATCAAGAGATATAGTCAAGGTCAAATATTACAGGACTTACCAGACCATCTGTTATAATTAGAAGTATTTGAATTATTATACGAACTAGGAATCCGCGAAATAGCGTATTCTAGACCGAAAAGAACTAAGTGGGCACGAACGAATGTATTGTACTTGTGATTTGAAGTCAGGCAGTTATCAAATACAAAAGAACCATTAGATCATACAAACACCACATCAACTTATCTGGATCCCATAAGTTTGTTAAGCAGTTGTTATCAGATGAAAAAGAACCAGTCGAGCTCTGACGTTAAAAAAGAATACTGTAAATATATCTAGTAAATGGAAGCGCATGACCAAATTAATTAGATTTGCTTATTGGAAAACAATGAGTTTCACCAATTGGATTATCACGACAGCCAATTGTAATATAACTATCATGATACTGAACAACTGCCTACATTAAGAAGCAAATCTTTATTATAAAACAATCTAAGACAAATATATGGTAGATTTCGGTCAAGTTGTGTAAGAATTGGTCATCATTATAAACGTTTTCACATTTTTATCAACCAAATGACTAAAACCCGATAAAAATCTTAAAGTTAATATTTTTCAAGCTTTATCAGCAAGATATTACTTCCTTATCACATCATATTTTACTCGAGTAGTCAAGTTAGGTGATAATAGTTTTATTCACATCAGTATTAGAAGCAAAAACAATAAAAATGGTTATTTTATTCACTTCTATACGTAATTTAAGGAATAAAGTCTAAGTGAACATTGTGAAAACCAGTTTGCATATGATTTAATTTGAAGTTACGGTTATCATTAAAGTGGTGCATGTAAGATGAATGAAAGCATAACAAATAAAACAATTGGTTTTACGTATAGTATACTACTGGCTTCGTAATTATGAAGCAGTCAGTACCTAACTCCCATATTTCATGGGTTTTTTTTTCTAAAAAGAAAATGTATACACACACTGACCCAAACATTTTGCTGGTAGAATAATTTGAATGTTGCAATTGACCTGGTTATGCAATTTCTCGGTTTATATGTTCTTGCTAAATTTAATCAATATATGACAGACTTCTACAAGCGAATGAAAATAACTACATGTACCATGTTTCTGACAATGTACTACTTTTAGATTTTGCATTTGTTCACTCATGTTTTCAGATATATATGAGATACATATGGTTCTTGTGTTGGACCTGAATCCATTTTCTACTACTTTATGATATGCCAAACTATCACTGTACATATAAAATAATGAGATAGCTCTTAAGTCATTTTCCAACCAGCTTGTTGATGATATATGCATTGAAGTGAACTAAGAATCTGCACACTTCGAAACAAGGATTTTTTTACCCTCTAACCAGTGAATCGAATTTCAAATCTTTATTACACGTATGAGCACATTTTAACAAGTTTATAATTATATATCAAGGTTGATAAGTAATAATTACGGAGAATCCTTGTTTTTCCGTATTTCACGTTTTTGTTGGTAAATGATTAGATTTTTCTTCCGCTATAACGCTTTCTAAGCTTTATTCGCGAGACTAAACGCAGATGATGCTGACCTGTTTTATTCTGCTTTGAATTAACTAACTAAAAAACTAGTCTTAAGTTCTCAATATACATCCTGAATCCATGGAATTATATCGAAAAAATAATGGTATAAAACTGTTGAAGTGTTAACTTGAAGCTTTGCGCACTCTATAACGAGATGAATATTAATTTAACGGTTCATATCAAAACGTCCTGCTTTAACTCTCATTGTGCAAAAAGTTATCTCATTTGCTACACCTAGAGAATACTAGACTGACTTCTAGATGATTTTCAAAGGTTCACTAAGGTAGTGAGTAATGAGACAGGTTGTTTTGTAAAAGTTCTAGAATGGAATAAAGTATATGGCATATTTTTGGATGCAAATGGCAAGTGCCTTATACAGTACGACGTACACTTACATAGACTAGTGATCTGATAGATTTTCAGTCAGTCAGTCAGTAACAACGTAGAACTTCGTACGTACGTACCCCCCCCGAAGAAAAATTAGACGTTTTTATAACAAATATATCACTGCAAATACGCCACTATAGTTTGCAACAAGTTTGCGTTGTAATATACAAAGATATAACAGCCTCCTAGAATCGTTTCCTTAGTGAAAGAGACTACTGTAAGTATAAGTCCATAAAGATTATTAATTTGGAAATTCGCAACAGGTATGAACAGTTATTCACACTATATTAGCGACAACAGAACTAACTCATTCATTTAACTTGACTCAACTGAGGTGGAAAAAAATATAACAGGCGGCTAGTTTTATAAATCGCGTACAACTGTGCAGCTTTCATTCACATGGCAGCTAGTGACTGATGTGAGACCTGATTATCAGCTGGGCTTTGCAACTCAACTAGTAAGTTAGACAAGTTATATGAAATGATCGCTCCAGGGTGAACGCAGATTTTGAACTTCAACTACAATCTCTTAAGAGGTTCTAAAATAAAGTAACATGCAACTATTACACAGAGTAGTGTATCAAACAAAAGCTGCTCTATTGGCGGAACCCATGAATGATTTGATGTCGGTTAATAAACAGGTCACAATACTAAAAACCATTTAAAAAGTGTTTTGTGACAGTAAAACATCTCAGCTGTTGAGAAAGTAATACTTTATTATTGATATTATGTAATTAAATGTAAGCTTGATAGGCAAATGGACTACTAATTGAAGAACCATAATTATCCTTGATCTTTATTACTTCTTAAAAGTGTACTTAATAATACGACCGATGAGAAAGTTAATCACAAGAATAAAGCACTACGCCGATTGAGAATTGATGAGAATACCTTGTCAGAACGTTGAAACTTAACACCCACAAAATAGAGCTAAGATTGAGTAGTTACAACAGACACGATCTCAAACCCAGTAACATGTACTTCGGTTAGGACATTCCGTTGGTAGCTTTGATCTTCACAGAAAATATACCTCAAAGTAGAATGCACGAGTTTGTATTTGGTTGCTGGAATTTTAGTTTTTCTCAATTTAGCGCACAGAACAAATATCATGGATAATCACCAATTTACCTTGCCACCAGCTATTATATAATTATTTTTACTAACGACGACAAAAGATAAAAAGGCTTTAGTGAAAGATGTTATATCGACAATATAAGTCAGAAGTAATACCGACATTTTAAATATACAATTAAGGTATGAACCAATTAGACGACTTAAAAAACAACTAAAATATTGACAAGTAATAATCTTGTTCAAATAAAAACATGTTCTTATTTGAATTGAAGGTAGTAACAAACGTTTAAATAACAAAAAGGCAAAACAAAATAGACTAGTAATGGCAAATACGTATGCAAATAATCACAAACTTTTACAAATCAGGAAATGCTGACTCAAAGATTAATTAGGAATGCAGTAGATTTGCACAAGGGAGAATGATAACTTACAACCAATATCTGACATCTTAGAGTTTATATAGAATATTTGGGAGGTGGCTCTTCTGTAGGTCTGATTGTAGGTGGGTCCCCAACTATTAGAACAGGTTGGATGAATCGGTCACCAAAAGAAATCGGAGCAGAAGCGACAGACCTAGACAGGTGGCACTGCATTCTAGAATGTCGAGATGTGTTATTAATTCTGAGATTAGACTGATGTGATGCATTTCGACATAAAAGTCGTGACAAACGCGAACGTATAGATGAATGGAAACGAGGACGAGATATCCCAGCTGAACGTCTCCTATAGCGACGAGATGGGTTCGACTGAAACGTCATACGCTGGTTTCGCTGAATGCGGGTAACAGCTGCACTCAAACCAGATCTCCTTTGTGACTCATTGTAACTAGGAGGAAAGGGAGGAAATATCATAGGTGGTTCTTCATGTGTAGGTGAAAGCATCACATAAACAATCGTAGTAGAAGATGAAAACGGAAGTGGATTAGATGAAGAATCGGAGGTATTGGAAACATTTATAGGGACTTGGAGAGTTGTATACAGAAGATGAGGACGAGGTTCACTAGGACGAATAAGACGCAATCCTTTAAGACGACGAAATATAGATCTACTTAAGGTACCAGGTTGTCGAGTAGAGGACTGTTCATTGCTGGAAGAGCAAGCAACTGAAGTTCGATCTTGAGTTTCGAAGCTCTCTGAATCGAATAGGTTGGCAGCTGCACGAGCGGCAGATAAAGCTACTGTACCAGTACCTGCTTGTGTGAGAATTAATGAGTGACGATTCAACTCCGATAAAAAAGGGATTAATGTATGGTGGATTTGTGGCTTACGAACTACTTCATTAGCATTACTGATGGGATAATTTCGTGTAGGTACATCTGAATCGAGGGCTAATATTACATTGCCAGTACCAACAAAGTCATTTATTGCACCTGATCGAAGCACGGAAGCCGCTTGATTAGCTGTAGCGGCATTGAATGACACTATATTAGTACGTAATGAACGTGAATTTTGAAATCGCAAATTAAGAGAATTCGAGCAAACACACCGACAACAGAGAATGGATGTTGCAAGGCTGACCGATGCTTCTAGAATACCGACTACCAACAAAAGGAGGTGCAAAATAACTTGGCATGTGCGCACGTAGGTATCAGACGTTTCACGCAGGACATTTTTAAAGTCTGAAAGCTGTAAATCAGACCAATCCTGGGTTCTGGTTGTTAACACCGCCAATGAAGACTTCGGGTCGTGCCTTTGAAAGAAAGTTTTGTTCTCGCGGTGACTTGGTGAAATTTTCGTAAGTTCACGTGAAAACCCTTTCCGTGTAACAGTACTGCTAAGGAAACCATCTTCTATTGTCCCAGCCACAGAAACACAAATGAGAACACACGCAGACAAGCTTACAACCATACACAGCACCAACAACCCTACTAAGACACATACAATAGGGCGACGGGCAGCAAGAAGACCATGAAATCCAGTAACCACCATTAATATCCCAGCCCATAATCCTGTAGCCATCTGATATAAAAAGACTGACTTGGTGAAAGCAACACTCGAGAGGACGATAGCTGCGAAACCACATAACAACTGAATTATGCTTAGAATTATAAGATTTTCATTAGTTACTCGGTGACGCGGGAAAGAAAACAAAGGACATTTGCAAGGCCCAGTGAAAAGTAGGCAGAAAAGAGCATTAGGTGGGCATGGTGAAACAGTTGGGACCAAACACTTTGATTTGAAACAGCAAATATCAAAACAGTGTGTTTTTGGTATGACTGGGGCGCAGAAAGTGCAGAAGCAACATGGACGAGAAACCTCCTCGTCTTGAGATAGATCCGACTGCACCTCAGGAATAGCAGGTGGGCACGAAGTCAGGAACTGGCTACTAAATAATCTATTTGAATGACCATTATTAACATTTTCGAATGCATGATAATCACCCATATTCGGACATGATCGTACAAAAGGTATGGAATCAATTCCATGGACGAAATTTGAGTGTACATAAGTAGGGACGTAATTTCCTGGAATTCCTTCTATATGAGCATGTATGCTGCAGCGACCCGCTACGTCGAATGATGTTTGTTCTTGTATCTGATCGGACGGTTGTAATTCTGCTTGAAAATTTGGAGTGAGAGACTGTCTACGAAATCCACAACTGTTGTTTGTAACATCTTGCGAAGCAGTGCATGTAAACGCGTCTACCATTTATTGTTGTATAACTTCCTTATATCATGAGATTAGAGCTACTTTTAAACACAAACTAATCGTAAGCATAAAATGCTTTGTATTGTACATTCCAAAAAGGCAACGTAGTGTGTCTCAGCAAATAAGCTGTGGAATTGAGATCAATAAAACTTTGAAAGTAAAATTAGAAAACCTAACAAGTTATTCAACAAATAAATGTGACCACAAAACAAGTCAAAATATGAACTACGAATATAAACGGGTGCAAGTATCATAAAGGACTTTGTCTTACATTAATAACTGTACGAAGGAGTTTCTAATTTCTAAAGAAAAAGTCTTTATGTGAAATCTTTATTTTGCATTAGTAAAACGAAATAACTTCAGGACTTGGTGTATTTTTATTTAGTCCCTTTAAACTCACTTTTTTTCCCGTTCCTATCCCAATTTTTCCAAGGTGACAGATTCGAACACATAAGCTAAACATTTTATTTATTGATTTATTTAAACACATAGATATTGGTACAAGGGTGCACCAGATACACATGCGCCACACGAATATCATTTGATTTGTGTGAGGGCTGTGATACTGCCCGGGTGTCCAAACTGAAGCAGTATCTTGATACTATATTTCACACAAGATGTTATTTTATTGCCGGATGTTTAAACTTTAAACACATCTATAGCTAAGACTGTGATTTAATAGCAAGGCAGCTCGATCTTCAATTAATGGTTACCAAGTAAGAACAATTATGTTTACTTTCGTTTGAGTAACCCGGTAGTGTCATTGGTAAGAAATAAGAATACATAAACGCGTACTTTTTACTGATTTGAACCTAACTAATGGAATCTGACTGCTACTTTTGTGTTGATAATACTAACTGACAGCCAGATTCTGCATACTTAATGTGGGTTTTATGGAATGTCTCGAGTAGAGAACTTACATACACTCATACCCATAATCCGCCACAAATCAACGCGCATCAAGTTTTAAGGAGCTCACTAAAGTGTTTATAAGCCCAGTACTTTCCTACATAACAAGAAAATTCGCTAAACATTTTCATGCAGTTCAACTATCCGTGCTTTCCTGTGAGTTGAAAGCTAATCGTGAATCCAGTAGAATGTGATGTTTCGTGACAGTGCTATTTGAAATCTGTTTGATTGTAAAGTACGTTCAGCATCACTCCACTCAACTTGATATTCGTATCAGCTTTGATGGGTTGGTAGTAGACGAAATCTTAGTGTACATACATAAAGCTTATTTGTTACTCGTAGTTCCACACAATCTATGGGACGAGATATGACAGGTGTACTAATGCTTAGTCTAGCCAAATGAAACAATTTATTAGGGCCACCTTGTTTAGAAACCTTACTAGACCTGGTTTGTGTCTGACAGAAACTTGGCACGAATACAAAAAACCCCAGTGCACATGTACTTGCGACTGTGATGCTGGGATGTTTATCTGCCCATCATAGGTCCTACATTTTGCAACTTCGTTTGCTGTGCCTTGGTTTTTACTATAAAGCATCAATCAAAGCAGAAGATATGGGTAGGTTGTTATTATTTGATCGTAGGTCTCTTCAAAACATTGCCTCAGCATGTTAGAATCAATTCAATAATGATGCAAGTTTTATGTCACGTGTGGATACTAGGTTTATATGGTTGTAAACTATTATGAACAGGTGGTCAGTACGTATTACACAAGCACAGTAGCATTTCAATGTAATATACTTTGAAAATAAGTACGAGAAAATAGGGAAGCAATGTGGGTGACGAGCATCACAGTTGTGGAAGTTACTGGATGTATGTATGCGCTATGCAGTTAAATATTGAAAATGCGGAGTAAGTCGTGCCTATGGCTAAAGACTCCAAATTACGCAGTTCAAAACTAGTCAGTGCTCCAAATATACTCACTTTTTATACCACTCAAGATATTAAGGTTAGTGTCATCGCATACCAATATTTATCTTGTTCTTTCCTATATTTGGTTATTCATTGAAACCAGCTGTATTTGTTACCATGGTTTGATAACTGGTATTTCAAATTGTGACGACTTAACCGAGCCAAATTAGCCGAAACATCTGTTTCTTTGAGCCCCATAGGGCTTGTTGGTACACCAACAAGGTCAATTTAAAACAAGAATCTCCATGGCACAAAGCTTTTCCGAAAAAGTTATCAATCATGCGAACATAATTTAGTGCGAACAAGTGTCCGAGCTTTCAAGAAAAGCCTATAGGCTATAGTTACATTCAGAAGCGTATAGTATGTTAGTGACGAACTGACACTAATGTTTGATGTTCTTACCCCAGAGCACAAAACGGAATCTGACTTCTGTGACAGTTTTGACTAAATATATCCACAAGTAAAAACTAGGCCACATAACAACACAATAAAAAATTAACAGAAGATACCGTTTGCCCCCAGGTGACCTTCACGATCAAAAGTGTGGTGGCGCTAACGAACATAATGTGTGACCTAGTAACAATGGCATAGTCATTCAATGCTAACAACGAGCGAAAAGTTAGAAAACAGTATTCCTTTATTAAATTCATATAAATTTCAACTGTTTATCAAGTGATGTAGTACTTGTTATGATTTGTTATGTTTTTTGTGTAATGAAGGCTTCAAGAGAATACTTGGATTACTTTCAAATGGTCCAAGAGGTTGTGGACGCAAAAGAAGAAGCTTTCGAATCACGGGAATCTGTGTCTAATAGCAGTGGATCACCAATTGCTCCAGGCAGGAACCTCGGTATATCAACGACAAAAGAGGAAAAAGAAATAGGTAAATAAATGTAAGATACTGTTCTAATATATTTTTCCATACAGAATGTTTGGCGATGCTAGGTAGCCGTAAGGTAGATCAAGGCCGATTAAAGCGCTCCTTAAAGCGGTATAAACGTCCAAGTTGAAGCGCGTAATAGTGTTGTCTTTTCCAGAGATCGTTTCACACACACACGATTTCATAATTCCAGTTTCGTTAACATACTTAAACCTGTAGCTCTTCTAGAGTTACTGCCGGTCACAAGCCCGGGTAAAAGAGGAGGGTTGAGTGTGGGGTTAGCGACCCCATCCTGTAGAAAACTAACTCACTGAAAATAATTCGGTTTCTTTTATTAGTCTGAAAAGGTGTATTGTGTTACCTACAGCATCTGCCATTTCCACCTCTTTCGCTTTCGTTGCCCACCACTGCTCACGGTCGTCCCTCAAACTTTGGGTTAGCCTAGATCTGATTTATTTACGCTCTTCATCGCGTTCAGTGTCTGATGGGATGAGTTTACGAGAATTTAACCAAAAGTATATATATATATATATATATATATATGATGGCTTACATAAGTGCTAACAATCCGATGAAGCCTCAACGGTCGTTCGTTTCGGCCTACATCTCCTTCACCGAGCCGCAGCATATTGAACAGAGTTTCACCAGCCACACGACCAAACAATGTGTGTTTTCCTGTAAGTTCTGTAGCCGACCCCAGAGTGAAGAAAAACTGACTCCCGTTCATGTTTTCTTCAAGGCATGCCATCCCAACAAGGCCACGACGATTGAAGGATAGTCTTGAATGAATTTCCGTCTGAACGATATAAGAGCAAGAGATTTAAGACATGAGAACTCTACTAGTTAAACTCAATAAATTGTTAAATAAGTTTATAACCAAAAGGGACTGTAAGTTGGTTACTAACATAGTGAAATGGAATGTTACTTCAAAGAAATCATCTTTAAAAAATCAACAGTCAAATAAATGTGGTTAGTTGTCTGTCTAAAGGTCAATTTAAGTAATAACACAAAAAGCCTACTTTGATGGCCTAGCTAAATTTGTAGTTACATGTTAGTTTAACAACCTTCATTCAAGTAATTTTATATCGTCATCATTAACACTACAACTTAGTATTACAACCAATATTACGTTGCCACAATTATTTACTGTTCATATTTACCTTGAGAATTTAACTCTTTGAAGAATATATATAAAATACTATTCTGTGACCTTTTTGATTATAAATTTGTCAAGAGGGGATTTTGCTGGATTTTGTGTCTTTTAATGGTGGAATCGAACAAACATAATGATCTGGTAGTCCTGTCATAAGAGAAAACGAACTAAAAGCTAGGACAAAAACCACGACAAAATCGGAAGATACATAAAGAATAAGTAAAATACTTTTGACCAACCTTAAAGGGTTGTCCGTATATACTTTCTCCACCTTCTCCAGTACCTGTCGGATCTCCACCCTGAACGATGAAACCACGAACAAGCCGATGGAATGATGTGTCATTATAGTAGCCCCTCCATACACAGCTGGACAAAATTTCTGCATGCTTTAGGGGCTTCTTTGGACCATAACTCAATTTCTATTTCCCCAACTGTGGTCTTTAGAATAACTTTACCATGAGTTGCTGGTTCGGTAACGTAGATGTTACTCATAACTGAAAAGTAAAAGGACGTTACATGAATATGTGCAGGCTTTATTATTATGCTGATTATACTTTGGAACCACTGCCGAAAATATCACACTTCAATGCAATACTTGCCAGATTAACTTATAAGTTATTGTTTTCATAAACGGTGCACCACATAGATCATGCATAAAACTGGTAATGGATGTCAAATAATTTCGTAAAGCGATTCGAAAATAACATTGAACCAAAATTCATTGTGTATACAAAAGTATTCGCATAAAATAAAATGACTGAAATAATGAACAAGGATTAGCACGTATATTCAATGCCGAAAAAAACATAACGGTGTTGTATTTCCAAAAGAATGCCTGTCCCATACCGAACAGTGTTGAATGTAGTTTACGAACGACCTTGTAGCAATGCTGAAATGACCTTGGGAATGTCCACCTACTAACAAGGACTAAATGAGGGTTATTAAGCAATGTAAGGAATTATAATTGTGATCTAGAGTTGCTGACTACGGTTGAAAACTATATTTAGTGTTTTAATCACGAACTGACATCAGCTATAATGTCGAAATAGTATTTAGCCAAATGTGTGGATGGATTTCGCGCTAAAATCCAAGACCCCTAGCAATCAAGGGGTTCTGTCCACCGCAGTCAGCATGTTGGTTATACAATAATGGTCCCCTCTGAAACCGTGCTGTTTGGGTGAAAAGAAGCTTAAGGATAATAAATAGTCATGCATACCGTCGCATATCAGGGACTCCATAATTTTTAAAGGTATAGAGAGAAGAGCCACCGGTCGATAACTCGAAGATTTGCTTAGTCGACCTCCTTTGAAAATTGGTGTGATGTGAGCCTGCTTCCAATTTTCTGATGATGTACCTCGGTTTAGTGAATGTGAGATCACGCCAAACGGTGTTGTCAAAATGAAAGCTGCTTCCCTCAGCATAGTAGAATGGACCATATCTGGGCCAGGAAAAGTTTCCTTGTTTAGGTGACGCAGTTTCCCGTACACCACGTCAGGACTCAAGTTCGCTTCTGAGCATCCTATTGAGTTGCAGACGGAGCTTTCATCAAAATAGTTAGTGTGAGTCAGTTGTAATGTCCGAGAGTACTGTTTAGCTGCGTCACCGTTGTTGCTGGTTGGGCCATTAGGACTTAGCAGTTAGGAAACTCCGGTTATGGCTTGCCAAAGAGAGACTGCGTGATGGAATAAGGTTTTTGGATTCGAAACAAACTTGTCGATTAGCTTTGCCGACGCCTATCTTCTTTTATTTCTTTTGTGCATATGTTCCTTTTATGTTTGTATTGCCCGTATTACCTGAATTATCTCGGTTAAGGTTTAAAATTTTCTTAGATCTGCTTTGAGGTACTTTTCTTTGGTGGATTACGACACCAGTAATCACATTGTGTATATGGTCGTCTTTTAGCCCTTTTATTCCATTAACAATGGTCGGCAGTACTTATAAATATAGACGGCCAAATTTTTGTTTCTCCGTGGAGGAAGAAATGAAATGTAGTGAATGCAAAATGTGGGTTCATAAGATATGTATTCATTTAAGTCCCACCCCATACAAAAGATGCTCGAAGCTCAACTCGCATTAGTTTTGTACGTTTTATTGTTCGAATAAGACATTATTGATCCGGAAGGCTCATAGCCTCCCGGCTCTGGCCTGCAATAAAATTGAATGTGCTTGCACTGTTAACACGAGTACTGACCGCAAACAATATGTCATTGTAGTACCTGCTGTTGTGGGACATGCTAAAAACCCATCTGTGAATCACGGGAAAGTAAAATCTCTTTCTAAACTACCAAAGAGTGAAATACTACTTGATGTAAATAGCCATGATTCCAAAGTAGAAATTAAAGACCCGGATAGAACGTCACCATTCCTAGTGGTCTCGATGTGGTTATCCAGAGTGACGGTAAATGGACGACCATGCGGAAACAAAGAAGCGAGTAAAAAAGCCACTCTGTATTCTTCTAGTGCTTTTGAGGTAACAGCTGTGAAAAGGAACGTGTAAGGTATTCGATGTCTAGCGGATTCAGTTGGGCTGGTCTGCCCATTAGTTTTTCACAGTGGTCTGCACATATGTTCCACTGTTCATGCATCTCAGCGATAGACATGCTTTCTTAGTTCTCGACTGATCGCTCTAGTTTACCATATTCCCCTGTTAGTTTCTTCGTTGTACCAGACAGTTGTCTTACATTTCCTTCTCTTGCAGCTTTGAATGCTGTCACTGTTAGATCTTCTATGTGTTTCTGCTTGTCGGCTATAATGTGCCACTTCATTCTCTCGTTTGTTTCTGTGTGTTCGGCTTGAATTTCTCTGTTCTTGTCCAATTGTTGTTGATTGCTGTCTTCTCATCCTTCCTTTCTTAAACCCTGCCATAGTAATAAACGGAAATTCATTTTTATGATTGCGCTTTAGCTCTCCAGCACATCCTGGCAACTTGAAGTCAACGCTTCTTCAGTCACTTTTCAGTTGTCGCCCATGAAAATCTCCTTTTCTCTAAGTATATTTTGCAAGTTTTTAAACTGTGCTGAGATGCATTGTGAATTTATTATGTTGTGGTGGTCGGTATTCAATATAATCCTTAAACTTCGTATACAGTTCGTCTTGATAACCGTTCTATATAACGCCCCAATGGTATATTATTCGGAAGGTGAATACGAAGCGTTGATTACGTTTATTACGAGACCACACACATATATACAAATGTACAGATGCGTTAAACGAGCATAGAAGAGTTGTGCCGAAAGGCAAGCAAGCGATCGAGCGAGTGAGCAAATATGAGTAAGCGAGTACAATCAAGCGAGCGCGAGCGAGAGCCAGAGCAAGAGCGAGACGAGAGTGTGTGTTGAATATATGAACAACATGGACATATATATACCTAGTGAAACGAATGAGTCATGGAATCAAATAAGTGGTTAGTAGTAAGACTAGCAGAGTGAATAAATGCGTAGGCAGTAAGCAATATTCAAGCATACGTATTTCATGCAAGCACAAAATAATAGGGGTACAATAAATTGTTATAGTGCG